AAAGAATGAAAGGTGTAAAAGGAATGATCAAGGTGGGCCCAGCCACGATGCGAGTCTTTGCACATTTCACCTGTAAAAGGTGAGGTACTGGGATTTCTTGAACGAGTAGGCCTAGGAATTCCGTTCAAAAACTACTTGAGCTTCACGAAGACTACTGGGATTTAACCGGTCCATTTGTGCGCAATAGACCTCATTCAAAAATATTTTTGACCCATAGTGGTAAGAAAAGGTGTATCGGAGATTCAAAATTCTAGGGAATTTCGTGTCACCACATTAAATAGGTGCAGACTAGTCATGAAGCAAAGTCTCCGACTTATGTCAGCTTATAAAAGTGCTTGATCTGAGAACTAAAAGGATGCCAGCTGTTTACAAAACTTTGCAGGAAAATAAACGAACGAGGAATAATCAGATCATCTAACGAACGGCTGACTTACCCGTAGAATTCACCCAGAAAATGTATATCTACTCCGATGAGGGAGAAAAAAATTGTGACAAATTGTTCAAGGTCTGAGGGTACGAAAACGCCACGTGGCTCATCGTCCAGAAGAAAAAGTTCGTATTTATGGAGGCAACTTGTTCTTGATTTTTAATGAGCCCGTAGTTTTGAAGGATCAGGATTTGAAGGAAAATCGAAAAGTGCCAAAAACGTTAGCATGATAAAATTATTGCCAGTTCTATCTTCAATTCAAATCAACTGCTTTAAAAACTTTCAAACATACCTAACAAGCCGAGGCCATACAACAGGTAAATGCCCAAATTCATAGTTTCTATAGGAAGTCAGCTGCTCGATATGAGCGGTTGTCAAGAACGTCAAATAAAGAATTCACGAGGAAAAACGTAGGCAGCGGAAGTTGCAACAGGAGCCAGGGCTCTCAGGAGGATGATTCTTTCCATATATCAATGGACCGAAATTGTTTTTAGGAATTGTCAACTGGATATTTCTAATTCCACCTCAAAGTAGAAAAATCTTCCCATTGAGGAAGATGGCAGGGGCGCATAGACGATTCTATTTCATATTACAATATAATGCGCAAAATCGTCGATGTCCGTGCACAAAATTCCGGCCTGAGTAGTATAAACGTATTATTCTCAAAGAATGTAAACTAAGGATGCCGGTTACTAAGTCTCAGGTCAGGTTCAAAAGCTTCGCCATAAGATCCATTCCTAGTTTCAACAAATTGCTATGCAAAGACGTACTAAAGCTATCATTGGCTAGTTTCAAAAGGCTTATGCCTAGAGATTAGTTTATTTTCAGCTTCCCTACATTTTTCCTATAATGCTTCTTCTTTCAGGGTCTCTCGGTATGTTCTCGCAGTATCTCTATCAAATAATTATGTTGCATTATTTCTGCTCACATTTTGTTTCGCAGCACTGTTCTGCTTTTTTAATAGCTTTCGGGGTGTTCTTCTTGTAGTTCCACACGCCGCTTCTTTCGTACCGATTGGATTTGACTTATGACTATCGTAAGCTTCTAACGGATTTTTTGTTGGAAGTTTTCTTCGACGTGGCCATTCATTAGTTCGCGTGTCTCTTCAAGTAAATAAAAATAGATCTAAATGGCTGGTCATGGTCGTGAGCCGGCTGGGACCCATGTTGAAACAAAATCGAGATCAATACAGGCATTTGGCTCACACGATAATGGAAAATTGGCAGCAAAATAAGCATGCTGATGCGCATTCCTTAGCGAATATTTCTCGACAGCGAATTTACATGACTGGCGCATTCCCACGGCTCTACGACGAGGCTCACAGGGGTCTAAGCACAAATAACCAGATGAAACCATAACACGTTTCTCGATATAAAATCAGCTCGCGTCTTTGAATAGTGCGTCAATAATGGCGTGCACTAGTACTAGTTGCCTTTCTGCAGGCGTAAGAGACGAGACCAATGTAATTTATCAATCATCGCGATTTACGTAAAGAAGCAAGCCTCCATTGAAATTTATTAGAGAGATGTTCGAGTGATGCAGGAAAACGAAAATCAGCCGAGGAAAAATGGCATGGGAGCCAAAAACGGACGCCTATTCTGTTTGTCCTTGAGTTGGATGCTCTATCGATCCTGGCGCTCTCCAGCGGCTAACGCTATCGCTGCTGGAACGGCTAGGACATCAGAAACAAGGGACGACGAGACAGGGAGGCGTACGAAGCTAATAGCGGCCGTCCGTGGACACCCGGGGAAGACCATGCTCATATCCCGGGACATACGCGTCGATACGAACAGCGCGTTGCTACACACTTTTAGTAGATAGGCCGTCTGTCTCACTGCCCTGGTAAACGGTTCGCCCTTCTTATGCCTTCTCCTTATTGATGGCAGTTATCTAAGCACGTTATAATCAGAGCTCTACGATATCATTAACTGGAATTCATATTCGTATCGTGCTTGTTAACTTAATTTCAACATCAATTTGATAAGTCTGTCGACTTATTCAATTTGATTAAGTCTTGTTTACTGTGCGGTTGACACCCGATCTCAATCCTTGCATTTTGTTCACTCGACGGACAGAGTCTGTCCTTTCGTTAACACTACGGCTGGGTGGCGTGGTTCCCCTTCACTCAGGTCACCCAAGTCGTTTCAGATTAATGTTGACTTCTGGCTATGCTTTTTTTCTACAATGTTTCATGCCCTGTTGGGGTTTACTGACTTAATTTGGGGGCAAGAAGACGAGGGATTTGGCAAGAAGGCAGACGTGAGAGGAGATCGCACGTGACAAGTTCGTCTTGACTTGTCCAAACAATCTTTGAAAGGTCCCCCAGCTTAAACCATTGAAAGGTCGATGAGATCGTCACAGCCCGGCGGTTCATAGAACGTTCAAGGGGTTTTTAACTTTAACTTCTGCTGTGGAATGTGACTTCAGATCTGTGTGAAGTACTTGCCATTAGGAAATATCCCTTGTTCATTTCCACAACGATTTCATAGGATAAGTATGATATTGAAAAGGTGCACTATTTTTGCCCTATATTGAAGCTTTTTACAGGAAGGAGGAGCACCATCATCAGCTCCTGGAACCCCCGAAGCAGGAGCAGCATCAGCATCCCCAGGTGCCCCCGATGCACCGAAGTCAGCAGTTGGACCACCTGACAAAACGCAGAATGAAGAAGGAGAAGAGGGTGGCGAGAAGAAAGCAGAAGGTGACAAGAAGGAAGAAGAAAAGAAGGAAACGCCAACAGAGAAGAAGGAGCCGGAAAAACCGCCGGAGAAGCCGGCGGAAAAACCGGCGGAAAAACCGGCAGAAAAGCCGAAGGAGGAATCAGCAAGTGACAAGAAACCAGACAGCGATTCAGCGGAAAAGAAAGGAGCAGGAGACTCAGATTCGGACAAACCTGGAAAAGGATTAGAAAAAAGTGTAGCGCTGGCAGCAGCTAAGAAAAAAGGAAAGAAAGAGAAGAAAGAGAAAGGCGGCAAAAAGAAGAAGGGAAAAAGTAAGAAGAAAGGAAGTAAGAAATCGAAGAAGAAGAGCAAGAAATAATGTACATAGTATTGCGAATCCGCCCACTTCAGATTTTCCACCGTTTTTCAATAAACCAAATGTACGGGAAATAAACGTATGTAACGACGGGACAATAAATGGTGGTACGGTATCTGTGGGTATATACGCTTCTATAGAACGTTACCTTATGATACTCCTGTCACACATCGCCACAACGTGTCAGTCGTTTGTTGGAAGATGTGGGGGGGGGGAGGTGGAAAAATCCTCCAGAGCTAAGCCCAAAAGAAGGAGGAGTTCAAAATATGTCAAGCACTCTGGAATCATTCCACTACCCCCACCCTCTATACCAATGCTTGTCCCAATAACTGGCAAAAAATTGGTAAAGCTGGGCTGGCGCTATGGCCAAATACTGAGGCATCCTCTACGACCAAGCCAAGGGGGGATAGGAACTTCGGGGTGTAAAATTGCTTACCCACCCATCTTGAAGTACCTCCCCCTCGCCTGAGGCTTAACCCCATTTGAAAAGAGAAAGTGGCAATTCTGCAACTACATTGTCCTCCACAATCCCCACAAACCGTTATTTTTGCGATTGCGGCGAGCGCTTTTAAGCCTGCATCCGCGACACTACGTATCGTTATGATAGAGCTATCGATCCACACAACGGCTTTTGCACCATACATCCATCCTACGGAAATCGCAGCGCGAGGTAGGACTAGCATTCATTAGAGACAGCTTTGGCGCAGTGCAGGTGGTCTCTGCTGGTAGAATAGATTCCTCTTGAGGCGCGATTAGAGCAGAACATTTGCGAGATCAAGAAGTGGATAAGAAAGCAGACAGCACGTCGCCTTCTTCCTTACTTCCTCTTTATTTTGGACATTTCTTTTACTCTGGTAATGCACGATTGGTGGCAGTGAACTTGGGAAGGGCCTCATTATGCTGAGAACCCACACACCACCCACCTCCTCCCCTTAGCCCCCTGGTCCTGCTTAGGACTAGGCCTTAGTCCTAAGGGAAGGGTGTGTAAACAATTTCCATCTCACCCGGAGTTCCACCCCTCTAGGCTCACACCGCACAAATCCCGCCCCCCCTTGCACATCGAGGAGCACGAGTTTCCCAGACAGGCTTCCTTCTTGCTGGTGGTGAAATCCACAGCCGAGAGCCCTGCATTTCGTAATTGAAAATGCTTATTAATGACCGAGCCTTATGTTGTTAGCGAGTGCCATTCCAGCGAACGCATCGTTCCCCTAGAGGCAGAGTTCTAAGTGACAGTGCCACGGTCTCCCACAGCAGTCTTTTCTCAAGTTCCCTCTTCCGACCATATGGCTTCTCGTCCCGAAATCAAGCTTTTTGTCATAAGTTCTACAATGGCTTAGATAACGGCAGGCAAAGGAGGCCCTTTAGAACTCAGCAGGTTCATCTCTTTCCGGCAAATGGATTCCGCCCTGATTTGGGCAGATCGTCCGACAGACTTGAAAGGTGGCGCGCCCTTCGCTACACCATGCGTCGAGGAAGCCCTTGTCCTAGAAGTGATCCTTCGGTCCTGGATTGCTCCGGGGCCTTAACGGGGTTTTTCAAGGTGGGAAGTTGCTGCAATGTGTGCAGCTACCCACATACAACCTCCAGGCACGGGAATTACTTCTCTAGCGTGCCTGAGCCCGACCTTTGCCTTTAATCACAGAACATCCTGCCGGTTCTTTCCTTCTTCCCACATTAGCAGGCCACTGATTCAATCGCCGTATGTGCTTTCTAGATGAGTACTACGATCTTGAGCACAAAAAATGATCCCTACTATGTATAAAGCGCTACGTCTGCCTGTCACGCGTCACAGCAGTCGTCAGGAGTTGGTTCTGGGTGATATAGGGGTGGGACGGGAACATATTTGGCGGGGACAGAAGGTGATAACAGCTGATAAGATACGATAAGGGGCGTTAGAACACAAGTGTCACGAAATTCATAGCGCGCGGCCCAGCAACGTTGAGGCGGTGTCTCTCAGATATGATGTAGATGGTGGGACGGGAACATGTATGTGATGGGGCAGAGAGTGGTGACAGCTGATAAGGGGTGATATAAGCGAGTAGCTTGAGGCAAAAGGAGCTGCTGAAGTAGATGCGCGATTCCAATTCCAAGGAAACATTCCATTTCATACGCGATGTCGTCGTCAATATTAATCAAATCGACCGCTAACTTCCCCAAGCTTCATAAGATGGTCGGTGTTTGTGGAAACGATACTCTGTTGGATGTTTCTATTTCGCTATCATCGCCACCATAAATAATTCAACCGCTTAACCCTCCCAACATCCGAAGCATGGTAGTTGTTTACGTTAATGGCTGACAGAAAGCAGTCCAAGTAATTGTATAGTTATCCACAGCTTATTCGGCCGCTGAACCATGTCAGTTTCCGGAAATGATGAATGTTCATGAGTATGGACGAGCTACGGGAGATGATTGCTTTATCACCAGAACCGTAGGGGAGGCGGTCATATGGCGCGATCACATTGGCATTAGAGCGCACAGGCCGCAATTGCCCATCCTGCTGCGGCCGGACAACTCGTCCGTATCACTCAACTATTAGACTTCAGTAATTGATCGATCTGATAATTTGGGTCTCCAAAACCTCGCTGAGTCCCAAGCTTGAAAAGAGAGCGGATAGCTTCGTTGGCCTGATGCCAAGGCAAGAGGAACGGAACAGAATGTGTTGCGCGGACGAGTTGTCCGGCCACAGCAGGATGTGGTAATTACGGCCTGTGCGCTCCAATGCCAATGGGATCGCGCCATATGACGCACACCCGCATGTTCACCATTTCCCAGTTCCCTGAAGCTCCTCTAATTCGTTAGCGTTTCGTTCCGGATGAACAGAACACCATACACACACACACCTGACAAACCACGCACCAAACTTCTAGTTTTAATATACTCCAGATAATCCCCCGCCAATCCGCCGGACCTCTTCTCCTGGCGCAAGCTTTCGCGTATGCAACACAATGGTGTTTCATACAGTAGAAGGGACACAATCATGATATGACGGTAGATTTTTCGCTTCCCTTCCTCATCCTCCCTTCCTCTCTCCACTGCCCTCCAGCTGCCACTGCAGCACCATGTGGAATGAACGGAAGTGTGCTAAGCAGGTGTTTATATAGCCCTGAGAGTGTTATCACAACTATCCTGCTACAAAACATTGATATCTCAAATCCTGTAAGCTACCCGATTTGTTAGCGGTTTGTTTATCCCATGAGCTTCCTTCTCACTCACTTCATTTTGCGGACGGACACACATACACACACATACAGACACACAAACCGACACACAAAGTTAGCGCTTTAAAATAGAAGGATATAAGGGATATCTCACACTTCCAAACTCGCATCCTATTCTATCGATTGATTGTCTCTAGTCTCCAGAATCGTACACTTAACCCAAGTTTTTCATTGCGTCACCTGACACGTGGCCATCCCAAGAGGTACTTCTTTCCGTGCCCCGCCTCGGCCCCGCGCCTTTTACCTCTGCTTCGATGTCCTATTGAGGCTGGTCATTAGACGTTTCTCTTCGGAGCCAAATCTTTGTGCTAAACTTGCGGTGTTGTCTCTCGGATTACAATTACACCTCATTTGACGAAATTTTCCGCGAAGATTCTTTGAAGTCAGTTCAAGCTATTTGCTTCTACTGCTTATACAAGAGTATTGAGAAGTTTCACATATCAAGTTATCGTCAATCCAACTTTATTGACCCTTTCCCAGGAATTACAGAAAAATCTCATTCCTGGTGCCTTACTACATTACAATTCCCTCTACCCGCGTTGTATCAATGATTTGCCTTGAAACTTATCACACTCGTGAACCGCATCACAGTTCACAATAACAGAACAACTTGTCGGCATATTATCTCTGCGGATATAAAGTTCTCACTGAAGAGGTTGGCTTCATTCAACCTAACTCTCCACTCAATCGCCGTATTCAATCTGCCTTAAGCATCCTGGCCGAGCGGCTACCGCGGGCTGTTCTTCTCAGTCCATTTTTCGTGGCCTCTTGTTGGCAGACGATGTGAGCAGCTGAATGGTTTACTTAATTCTACAATGGGTATGTCTGGTGATCTTGCTGACGACATGTGGAAAGAAAGATGAAGAAGGAGGCGAAGAGGGAGGCGAAGGTGAAGGGTAGTTTAGTAAAATTAAGTGCGTGAACCACCCAACGAACATTCTCTGAATAAGTCACCTTCAGTCATTGCGTCTACGCCAATGTAAGTGGTACACCGTTCGATTTCCGCCTATCACCGGTGAGGAGTGTTTGCAAGTTTCGATCGTTGACGTTGATGCAAAGTGATAGGTGATTAAACGAAGTGATTCACGATTAAAATGAAGTCGAAGAAGATGATTCTCTAAGTTATTTGGGACTTGCGAAACCTCCTGAAGGTCGAAGGGCGCAAATGGTACGCGAAAGAGTTAACTCGGCGACGACCTAGTCAAGGCTCAATCTGGCGCGGCTGGCCGGTGTACGCCCACCGATCATCTGATCACTCGCCGCAGGTCTATACGTGGCGAGTGATTAGATAGTGAGAGAGCGTAGTGTTGAAGAGGGCACAGCGATGAGAGTCGCATCAATGCTCAAATCAACGGGCAAGGAAGGGGTCCCATTTCTCGGGTTCTGGGCCGTTTCTCATGGTTTTCCTTCTTTAGTGTACCACTCACCATCGCTAAGTTAATTTGAAATGGGTTGCCTTTCCAGCGTGAATTCGTCCTTTAAAGGCACAACCCAGGCAGAGGTCGTGTGAAGATCAGATCTTCGGTCCGAAGTATAGAACCCTAGGGGACAATCACAAATGTGGCGTTCACGTGCACGGAATTCGACCGACAAGAACGCTTTGGGCTTGCAAAGTAAGCTGCTCGAGCTGCAGCGAACGAGCTCTCTTATCAGGCCGTTGTCTGGTGCTCTCTCATCTGATGCGCTCTCTCGCCCCATACATACTCTCCTCTTCGCGCTTAGTCTCTCGTTCCTTCTAGCACAGCCAATTAGGAAGGTGAGTGAGCCCTCAACCTGAGCGTTTTCGACGGATTCTTTTCCTTTTTTCTTCACTGCCGGCCCACTTGGCACCGATACATTCACATTCGTGTGCAAGAGCCACACCAGTGCGATCCTGGGGCATGCCTTTAAATGATATAAGAAAAAACATTATACGACCTAGCATTGGTGAGACAAGTCCGACTGAGTCGGGGTGGGGGGGGCGATAAAAAAAGGTGCGTAATCGATTGGTTGCCTCTGCCACTGGCAGCATCTAATCGCCTACTCGCCTACTCGCTCGATCGTTACGCATCTCCTCCTTATAGCCTAAGTCGCTGATGCGCTTGTAACGATCGCTCACCCTGAACCGTCTTGGCAAGTAATGTAAATACGACCGCGAACATAACCAGCTCTTCAACATCCGGATTGATATGTCCACTCTGTTCCGATCCCGGTAAGCAGGAACATTCGTTCATTGACGGTGCGGAGGCGCGCAACAATTTCGCTAAAACTTCGCTTACTCGCAATCCACACCATGCTCCACAAGCTCCACCTTCCGTTGTCGGACGCAGTTGCGGCAGCGTTGCATTGTTGCTCGTCTTTGACGGCTGTACTCCAAGACCCGTCGCGCGGGACGAAGAAAATCGCAGACCGTATAGACGAGTGCACCGGGGGGCGTACTGCAATCGGTCAGAACGCAGTAAGATTTACCGAGGTGTGCGTCTATATGGGCGCGACCCCATTTGAACGGAGCAGCACCAAAGCCGTAAATCCATACATCTGCTGTCTACCCAGACAACTCTAAACGCAGACCGCACTTCTGTTTCGATCCTCTTGCTTGCGTCAGGCCAGCGAGCTTATCCCTCTTTTTCAAATCCTTGCGACTCAGCGAGACTTTTTTGAGACCAAAAGTTATCAGATCGATCAATTACAGAAGTCTGGTAGTTGAGTGATACGGACGAGTTGTCCGACCGCAGCAGGATGGGGCAATTGCGGCCTGTGCGCTCTAATGCCAATGATCGTCGCGCCATATGACCGCCTCCCCAGTGTAACCATACTACTCTCATATCGCACAGCAACACCCATCGCCGACTCGCCTTGCGCATCTGTTCTGTCTCCTCCGTCGTAACTAATGGCAAGTAAAGTTCTACCCACCGTCGTAACAATGGGCAATAAAGATTGAATTTGTTAAACTAGTCGCACACGTCCAATTCTCTATCCCAGTGGGTATCGGTTTGAAAGACGCGCTTTCTCGCGTATCGGGCTTACACATCCATTTTTCTCGGGGGATCTTTGCTTTAAGCCACTAACCCTAGAAGGGAGGGCGCTCATGTCCCTTAGGGAACAGGATCATCACAACAGAAGGGTGTAATCAATACTTGACACCAAGGAAGGAGAAACGCCAGGGAGAACACATACATTGATCACATTCTACCCCAGAATCTCTTCGCCTGCCTAAGGCTTAGTCCCAAGCGCAGCAATTGGCTCAGTAGCATGAAGTCCCCCTCTTCCTCCCTCAACGACATAACACCGGGAGGGGAAAGAACAACGAAAAAACAATCGCGCATACAGTCAAAAAATATCCTCCTAGATATGGTTAGCCCAAAATTTGCGCCACATACAATCATGGTGTCTCACTATAAGTTCTGCACAGCTAACCCGTTTTTTCTGTTGAGGGCGAGACACCAGGAGATAACTTTTTACTTTACACCACCATTAAATCTATGATGATTTTTCACAGGAGGATAAGTCGTCTGCATCGGCACCTCCTGGAGCGCCTGGAGCTCCTGGTGCGCCCGAAAGTGGGGTGAGTTTTATCAGTTAGATAAGATTACAGGCTCCAACTCTCAGCGATCGTCGCACCTACTGGCGTCTTATCCAGTCTGATTACCTCATCTTCAAGAGGCTCAAGTGAAACGTTGTGTGGACAGTAAACACAGCAAAAACTGGATATGGGGCTCTCTTAAAGCCGCCATCATATCCAGATTCTTACTAATTGAAGCAACATCCCCCACCCCTCCCCCTTGAATTTGTGGGATCACAGTGGTCGGTAACAAAGTTGTGGATGCGGAGGTAAACAAAATGAAGAAGGAAGCAAAGAAAACAGTCGAAGTAGACAAAAATTGCCGTAGAAAGGAATATGCGGGGCAGGCTGAGTTCGTAGCAAACTTGCCGACTCTGTGCTCCACTCATGGACCGCTACAACTCGTCCGGCCCCGCCCCTTCCTCATTCAAGGGGAATCCTTGTTTAGGGCTTCATCGACGATTTTTTGGTACTTTTTTCTTCATTTTTAGTCAATTTGGCATCCACAAGTTAATTATCGACCGCTGCGACCCCACAAACCCAATCTGGGGGTGTTGCTTTAGAAGTGGTTGAAGGCGGAGAAGGGTTCCACCTGCGTCCTTGAACCTATCACGTCTTTGTTTGGTGTATTCACCAGTATACTTGGAAATCGTTTTATAATTTGGAGCTTTGAAAACAGCTTTTCAGAGCTCGGCGTCAGCGGAGAAGAAGGAAAGTGAAATGAAGGAGCCCACAGAGAAGAAAGAAGGCGAAAGTAAGGAGCCTGCAGAAAAGAAAGAAAGTGAAATGAAGGAGCCTACAGAAAAGAAAGAAGAAGAAAAGAAAAAGGAAGAGAAGAAAGAGCCGGAAAAGAAAGAGCCGGAGAAGAAGGAGAAGAAGAGGAAAAGAAAGAGGAAAAGAAAGAGGAAGAAGAGAAAGAGGAGGAAAAGAAGAAAAGAAAGAAGAGGAGAAGAAGGCACCACCAGCTAAGGATAAGAAAAAGGAGAAGAAGAAAAAAAGCAAGCCAAAGAAGAAAAAGTCTTCAAAAAAGAAGAAAGGCGGAAGCAAGAAAGGAAAGTCAAAGTCTAAAAACAAGAAAAAGGCCGCTGAGAAAAAGGAGCCAGCTTCAGACACCCCTGCAAAGGCAGACGTGAGCAGTTCCCGTAATAGTCCAAAACCTTTGGATAACCTTTGGATAGGGACCGATGAAAGGTCCTAAATCCAACCCATTGAATACAATTCCTGAAGCGCGGCGAGTAGTCCAGGCACACTGGCGTCATCCCCTTAGGCTTGGGCAAGAGTATCCCACCCCTGGCCAGAGATCGATTGCCCATTCAAGTCCTTGTCGAAAAGCTACTGCAAATGAAAATGTTATCAAAAATTTTTTCTCCAGCTTTATCAGCAACCCTGTATTAATTCTTATTCGTTAAAGCTGCCAAGCACTATGGGACCCCCCCCCGGTGCCATCCTCACCTCTCTTTCCCTCACAGCTATGACTCGGGCCGAATCACTTGCAGGGCTAACCGTGACGTTCGCTCCTCTTTCAAAAATTTCGCGACCCCCTCCTTTAGAGGGTTCTCTCTGTGCAACCCCACCACTACCATGAGAAACAAAACTGATGAGGATCACTTTAAATACCACCCGTCTCTACCCTACCTACCCCAACGCACGATCCTCGCCATCATCTCGGCTGTCTCTATAATATTTGATTCTTAGACCAGTCGACACAGTCCAACTCCGCCCACACTGTCCATTTTCCTCTTTCCTCCAGAAAACGGCTGTCGAGCGGCGGGGAGGGGGGGGGGAGGGGATTATAATAGTGCAATGAAACGGCCCTAACCAGTCCAAATATTTAAACATCTCGCTATCGCCATTCACTCAACAAATCACTATCCAAGTATTATTCCCATTCATTCCCTTAGTGCGACCTTACCCCTCCACCCTTCCCAAGACTGCAAATACGACCCCCTAGTTGAGTAGTGCAAAACGCCGGTGACCCGATCGCTAGCCTAATTCGGAAAGACGCCCATTTGAATTGTCCTCTAAGTTAGATATCTTACGACCAGTGCTTGTAAGCGACTTCATACACGGCCTGGCATTTGATAATTTGCCTCTGTATCGGCCTGAAATTAAGGACAAGGGAGAGAAGAAGGAGTCGGCAGAGAAGAAGGAAGAGAAGAAGGAAGAGAAGAAGGAGGAGAAGAAGGAGGAGAAAAAAGAAGAGAAGAAGGAGGAGAAGAAGGAAGCAAGTTCAAAACCCTGTAAGAGTTATAGATATTAATATATAATTGCAATAGCCGAGAAAAATGAGAAAATTTCTAAATTTTTAGGAGACACCGAAGGAAGACGCCTAAGGCGCCTAGCAAGGCGGATAAAGTAGAGGAGGTAAGTTTTCACGACACGGGTGAGAGTGTGATGCTAGTTGCTGGAATCCAACAACTTTCCCTATTTGGGTGGTTTTGGCAGTGATTCTGATCCGTCCCACAGCTTAGCACCCACGGGGAATGTTCAATAAGTTTCCCCTCCCCAATTTTCCTCGAAAACCAAAATGTTTAAACAAAAAGTAAGGAAAAAAGTGTATCCCTAAAGGCTCTGTTGAAGAAGCACATCGTTTACGACTTGTATTTAAAGGAATCTTCCGCGGAAAAAGCTCCGCCTCCATTACCACAGAAAAACGATACCCCTTAGGCCCCTAGCCTCATGAGCATAGCAAAAAGAACGGAACATAAGCGTTAGTTTCGATAATACTAATCCTACACACAAGACAAAATGATCACTCTTTCCGTGGAAGATTCCTTTAAGGTATCGTTTTTCTGTGGTAATGGGGCGGAGCTTTTTCCGTGGAAGATTCCTTTACGGGAGACTTACGATAAGACTGACTTGGGTTTATAGTGGAACTGGGAAGGCTGAATAATGCCCCAACAAAAAAGCAAAGAAATCTGTCAGAAGCGCCCAGTGGGACTCTTTTCACTGCCCATGTACCTACCATGACAGCTCGCAACCAAAATAAGAGTCATTTGCAACCGAATAGCCCCCATCAAAACCAGCAACAACCCTCACTTGTAGAAATTGCATTCCATGGAAAAAGGAATACTCAGTAAGGGAATACACTCATCGCTAAAAATCTGAACAATCGTGGCAGCTGCAAACACTGATGGCGGAGCATATTCGGTGGAGGCGGGGCGTCAGACAGGTTTGGCAGTCTCAGGTTCTGACCTAGCCACGAAAATGCCACATCTCACTTCCTTCGGTCCCGTCACCGCTGCTTCCACTGTGCATGTACTTCCATGCTTGTACACACACTTTATCGTAATCCCTCTCTTTGAAGAGTCACGTCTTGTGGGTGTGCGCTGGTCCTCGCGCGCCAGTGCCATTGAAGATTCTCGAAGAGTGCCGGCACCCTCACCTGCCTGTCAGTCTTTACGTTGTCGCCGCCGAGTGTAGCCGCTTGTTCATCGCTCCGTATTCCGCCGTTGTAATCCCACAAGTCGAGCCGTCGAACGCAAGGGATATGGATCTGGGCATGGACGCCTGAGGATAGATCGCGGAGCCTCAACCACGGTACCCCCATAACAGAGAGCATCTGGATACGATCCGTGAGTCAACTGTCACGGGGAGGTAGGGGGTTGTTTCGCGACTCTTTAAAAGGAAGGGCGGTCGTAAAATTTTTAAAACCGAACCAACGGGACGGTTGACCCCAGTGGGAGGGTAGGGGTGAGGTGTCTGTGAGGAAGACTGCATATGCATCCTGCGCTTTCAACAAAGATATGTAGTATAATTTGGTATATATTTACAGAAGAAAGAAGAGGGCAAGGAGGAGAAGAAGTGAATGGACGACATGTTAGGTGAAAAACATGCAATTTACTCCACGTTTTCAAACACATAAAGGATTCGTCTACAGTCTAGTAGTTGTTTTACGTTTTGCTTCTGTATCCCGTTGATTTGAGTGAGGGTAACACTACTCCATAACAGATTGATCCGAATTTAGGATAGTGTCAGAGTCCGCGATCCGTCGCGCGATTCGCGCGAATCGCTCGGTGCGCCGATCAATACTGCGAGGTGCTCTCCAATCCCGCCGCCATTTCTGCTTGATGGTGACGGTGTTTCAAATGTTTAAATGAGCCACTTGCGATTTCTTGAAGATCGCGCGACTTGCTCGAATCGCGCGACGGAATCGCTAACTCTGACACCAGCCTCACACACCTCCTTTTCAAGCTCTAGTTTTCTGCCTATTCGACCGCGTGAGAATGGCTTGTTCTAAGCAAGTCCATCAGTAATTAAAAAAACT